GATCCTCAGATCTCAGCCTCCTGAGAAGCTAGGATTACAGGTGTGAGCCACCTGGCCTATCATAAATTTTAAAAGAAAAACAGTGGTAGGGTGTTAAATGTGGTGGACTCATGCCTGTAATCCCAGCTATTGAAGAGACAGAAATTAGGAGGATTGAGGTTCTAGGCCAGCCTGGGCAAATAGGGCAGATCCCATCATAACCAACAAGCATGGCATATTCCCACTTACATGGGAGGCAGAGATAAGAGGACCACAGCCCAAGGCCAGCCCTAGACAAAAGCATGAAGGCAGTCATGAAGGCAGTGGAGGTGCTTCAGAAGCTGTGCTTGAATCATGGCATTCACTAACAATCAAAGAAGGAAGCTTGACAATAGTAGTAAAATTAGGGGGAAATCCTTGTTTTGGATAACAAAAGGTCATTTGAGCATCCATATGCTGAGAAACCTTTTACAAAAGTGATGATGCCTTGGTTTATTTTCTGTAAAAATTAGTGAACATTCCTCAAAGACCAACATAAAGTGATGGTGCTGTAAAGCAAATTCTGTTAGAGCTGTGAGTAATATAATTTGTATTTGATCCATTTTTTTATCTTGAGAATCCATGTGTATATGAAGTTAAAACCTGCATATTATTCAGGTTGCTAAATATTTCATCACTACGTCAGGGTGAAGTGTAAACCTTCCATCACTGTTTGCTATTACATTTTAGTCTCTGGTTTAAGCTGATTAAAAGGTCTTTTTCTGGTCATGGTTACTGTCCGGTTCTGTAATGTGTTGTATAAGCATGTGCCCCTTTGAAATTCTTGTCCTTCCCAGAGCCTCAGAATCTGACTTTATTTGGAAGTAGATTCTGCGCAGATTAGTTGAGCTGAGGTCACGGTAAGGTAGGGTGAAGCCTTAATCCAGCACAATTTATGTTCTCTTAAGAAGCCCCCCGGGAAATGGTTGTATGGAGGGGAAGTCACAGGCACATAGGGTCAACATGCTGTGATGGCAGGCGCAGCTGGGAGCCTTGTACTGAGTCAAGGATCACCAGTGGTTGCCAGTAACATGGGACACTACAAGAAAGACATGGGCGATAGTTCACCACTGCTGGCACCTTCATTTGGACTCACGGCCACTTTGTAGTTGTCAGCTGTGGCAGCTATAGAAAACAAATACAAGGGTTTCGTGACTATCCATAGATGACGTGTTTCTTATCATCTGTGCCCACATCAGGGCTGGCATCTTGGCAACTGAAAGAGAAGTCATTGCATTGGCCCAAGTTAAGTATGTCTTGCTTTTTCAAAGGAATTGGATGTTTCTGTTCCTGACAAAGCTGGGAGTAGTTTTGGCTACTACAGTAAAACATCAGACAGTTCTGAATTATCTACATATCAGTTGGTAATTATTTTTTATGGCGGCTCTCAGTTGCCAGCTAGGAATCATATAACAACTTCTGCTTTATAGCCTTTTTGATTAGGTATAGAAAGGTATTTGGGGAAGAGAGCCTAAAGATGGGAGTTGGTTCTGAGTTTTCAGTAGACAGGAATAATGATAAGACATTATCATCAGTGCCCTTTAAGAAGAAACTCTGCTTGGCCCCAGATAGATGCTGAGACTGTAAGCATTGGGTTTGAGGGGTGAATAGAAAATGGAGTGTCTTAGCCAGTCTGCTGTCCCATATGAACAGGCCTCGGATTGTCTTCTGACATCAGCGGGGCTTGGCTGGCAGTCCACTGGGTTTAGGCAGAAGAAATGAAACGTAGTCATTTACCAGAGCTTGTGGTAAGCAGTTATTGCAGGAAGCGGTGAGAACTTGGTTGGTGGTTGAAGATGAAACTCTATGGTGAGAAACAGGATGCTTGCTTTCCATTTATGCCCTGGGTTACCAGTGTGAAGTTAGCGAGGAAATTTCTTATTAGCGCGGCGCTGGCAGAGGCATGTACCAAGCTTTCCCGACAGTTACATCTGCTGTTACTCATCAACAATCAGTTTTTAAATCTTCCAGATAGGATATTATCCCACAGATGTAGAATGAAAACTTTTCTTAAAGGTTACATGATAGGATTAAGTTTACAGTAACTTTCTAAGAAAAACCTAGAGTATAACTTTATTAAAATACTACATGTGTTGCATCTCTTTTAGATATTAAATCTCTTCACTCTAGTATAAAGATTCTCTTTATAACACTACAACCATGTCCCATACGCCACAGAGCTTTTCATGATCTACCAGAATGGTGTTTATAAGAGTCTGGATGTCTAATAATGTCATTTGGCAGTATTTTTCACATGGGCTAGCTATGTTCATTTGGAATATATCAGAAAACCCGCTGCCTACCTTAAAGAAGCTGAACTGGCAGCACCATTATTACAGCATAAGTTCTAGAATTCACAGGGAGTGACAGATTAGAACCAACCTGTGGCTGAAAGAACAAAATGACTGCTCTGTCATGGTTTAATTCCTTCCCAAAGGAAATGCTTCCTTTTTGTTTTGTTATATATGTAGACCTAACTTTTGTTCAATACCAATTTTAGTTTGGAGAATTTAGAATAGTGCTTTTATAGACTTATACTTTATACCAGAACTTTATTGCTAATCAGGAAAGTAGCCAGCTTGGACTACAAAAAGTGGGATAATAAAAAATAGCAATGAATCAGCTTGGTGAAAGATCAAAACTGAACACATAGCCCTTTATTTTTAACCATATATATTTAATCGTAGAGTGAGAAACAAGCTTTTGCCTGAAGGATAGAAATTCACCTGGCTGGTTTCAAGCATGATTCCTATTTGCATCACAGGACTCTTCCTCGCCCCTTTCCTGTCTGTGACATCAGGCAGGTGTTAGCCTGGCTGTAGTGGGGTGCTGCCTGAAAAGAGCCAGGAGGAGTAACAGGAGGAGCTTGCAGCATCTACATTTGTAAAAGACACTTAGGGAGAAACATTGTGTAGTAGACAATAACATTTCCAAGTAATTTCCACTTGGGAATTGATAAATCTAATGTATTCATTAATATTCACAAAATGATCTCAGCCCCACCCCATCACCCTGTGCATCTGCACACTGACCCCAGGGCCTTGCACATGCTGAACAAGTGCTTTCCCACTGAGCTATCCCCAGCCCAGTATTAACAAAAGTAATTCAATTTTCCCTCCTTTCTAAACTTCTGAAGTTAAAGCCTAGGTGTATACTGCCTTTACTGTTACTAAGCTAAAGGTGTTAGTCATGCTTCCTTTGGAGAATGTTGGGCATTGTGTCAGAATTTACACATTTGGAAGATGTGAAGCAGAACTCAGACTGGGAAAGAGCAACGATTGTGGTCTTAAGGAGGGGAAAAAAAGCTTTATAGAGCCCCAGTGTTGGTGGAAGGCTGCATATTGAGGTTTGGGTTTCCCTGTGGCTGGGATGTGGCCTTTGTGGCTCTCTTCACCCCTCAGAACCTGTTTACTCAGCTATGGAGGGAAACCAGTGGAACTGATTCCAAAGGCGGTTGTTGGGAATAAATGTTTGAGGAACAGTTGTGTTAATCAGCTTTGTTACCATAACAAAGTACCTGAGGCAGTCAGTTTACAGGAGGAAAGATTTATTTTAGCTAATAGTTTCAGAGGTTTTAGTGCATGCTTGCCCTGCTACTTTGGACAGCGCATCATGGCGGAAGCATGCGGCAGAAAAGGCCTGGTTACTTCATGGTGCCTAGAAACCAAAAAGAAAGAGGAAGGGAGGGATGGAGTGGGGTTAGGACTCCACAATCCCTTTCAAGGGCATCCTCTGGATCCCACCTTAAAGGTACCTCCCCACCAGCCTGAACTAGATACCACTGGCACAGGCTGGGACCAGGACTTCAGCACGTGGGCCTTTGGGGGACATTCATGAGCCATTCAAAATTCATCATCCTAGCTACTCAAAACTGAGGATCATAGTGTGAAGCTGGACTAGGCAGGAAAATCCGTGGGCCCTCCTATCTCCAGTTAACCACAAAAAATGCCGAAAGTGAACCAATGGCTCAAGTGGTAGAATATCAGCCTTGAGAAAAGGGGCAGGGGGGGGGGGGGGGGGGGTTAAGGGGAGGAGGGGCAGGGAGACAGGGGTAGCTCAGGGACAGTGTCCAGGCCCTGAGTTCAAGCTTCAGTACTGGTATAAAAATGAAAAGAGAAAAGAAAGTGATTGTCCCTTCACAGCCTTAGAAATAGGCGATATGGGCTGGGAAAGTGGCTCAGTGGTAGAGCGCTTGCCTTGCATGCCTGAGGCCCTGGGTTCGATTCCTCAGCACCACATAAGCAGAAAAACAAAAGCTGGAAGTGGCGCTGTGGCTCAAGTGGTAGAGTGCTAGCCTTGAGCTGAAGAGCTGAGGGACAGCACCCAGACCCAGAGTTCAGGCCCCATGACTGGACCCCCCCCCCAAAAAAAACTGCCAGTATCTCAGTATATAATGAATTTGTGTTTAAATGTCACTTGTATTTTCTCTTGTGAGGATTGTCTGCTTGTATGTCTGCCCATTGTTATGTTGGATTGTTGTATCCACTTTTAAGAACTCTGTTAGGGGAAGGAGGGCCTGGTCTTGTGAGCTGCAAAGATTTTCTCTGCTTCAAGTCAGCCTTTTGGTGTAGCTTATCATGGGGCAGGGTAGGGAGTGTGTACCTTGCTTTTCCTTCCTTCCTTCCTTCCTTCCTTCCTGCCTTCCTTCCTTCCTTCCTTCCTTCTCTCTCTCCCCTCCCCTCTTTCTTTCTTTTCTTCTTTGAAGGAGTTTTTTTTTCCTTAAATTTATCAAGCTTCCCTTTTGTGGCTTCTGTATTTTGAGTCATGATTAGAAAAGCCTTCCTTATTCCAAGACCATAAAATCTGCATTTCTTTATAATGCTTTCGTCCCATCTCCTTTTTCACGTATATCTTCCAAGTTTGCTGTTTATGCTTGGTGGGATGGGTGGCGTGGGGATTCCGCTCTGGCCTCTTTTTAAGCCAGGCTAATCAAGGAATAATCCTAATATCTCTTCTTAATCCTAATATCTCTTCTTGTCCAGGTCCAAAAAGCTGAGTACTCTTGCAGAAGCCTTGAAAGAAGTCTCCCTCACGAAGGCCCAGCTGGGGTTAGAGCTGGAGGAGCTGGAGGCAGCAGCGCTTCTTGTCCAGAAGGAAGAAACATCAGGAAAAGCTGGCAGATCAAGTCCTGGCCCCTGCCCCGAAAGCAGCGAAGAATCCACGGGAGAATCGGAGGCGGAAGAATCATCAGAGGCAGAAGAGTCATCGGAAGAATCAGACAGCTCTTCATCCTGTGATGGCAAGGACCCGGCTTTAGAGGGAGACCAGCCACGGCTGGGCCAGACAGAGCCCATTATTTCTTTGCAAGGCTCCTCTCTGGGGGCGGGTATGAGCACCCTGCTTCTCAGCGATGGCCAGGTCCGCGAAAACACAGTCTGGCAGGACTCTGTCCTCAGCCAGGGTCAACTGATGGCCTGTTCTGGGCCCCCCTGGGAGCACAGACCATTGATTCAGGAGCTTGAGGATCAGCTGAGCACCACCCTTCAGGTTTCCACAGCCCGGGACAGCACAGCAGACTGCGGGACAGAGGTGGGGACGGGTGACCCTTGAGCCCACGTGGGTTGCTCACTGTGGGGACTGCTGATAACTGCCTTTCACTGGATGCATTTCTGCACATGTATCCTATGTTATTTGTCAGTGAGCTACTCTTACATTACTCATACCTTGGGTTTCTTGTTATATCTTGAAAAATAAAGTTCTTAAAGAACTTTTTCCAAAGTGTAACTGTGCTAAGCACTCCACAATGTGGAGCCCAGTGCTGGCTTTTAGCTCTTCAGTGGTATGCCGACCATGTGAGAAAGTAGTCATATTTGAGGTGTGAGGAGCGTTTATCTATGAATACACCAGGTAAAACATCACCATAACCCAGGTCATGACCTTGCCCATCATCTCCAGGGGTGGAGGGAAAGGGCTTTCTTATCTGTCCCTCACTTCTAGCCAAAAACCATCCACTTGCACCCCCTGGGCTGCCACTGATCTGCTTTGTGTTCAGTGCAATGGCTTGCATTTCCCAGATCTTACATAAATCGAATCTTGCACTACATGTTATTGTATCAGATCAGTATTTCACTCCAAGTAGTTATTTTGAGATTGAACCTAGTGGCAGCCTGTTTGTTTTGTGTTGTGTTTTCATTGCTGAGTATTATTTCGTTGAATACACCTACTGGGATTCACCTACTGTGGGCATCTGAGTTGTTTCCAGTTTTGCACGGTTGCAAATAAAGCTGCTTTGAGCATTTGTGTACACGTCTTTGTCGGACATATGCTTTCATTTCCCTTCAGTAAATATCTGGAAGTGGCTCTGCTGAGCCGTATGGTAGGTATACGTTTAATGTTTTAAGGAGCTGTGGATCTGTTTTCCTGTGGCTTGGCTGTACTGGCTTATACCCGGCAGCACAGAGGACCACCCTAGCGTTAATCACTGGGTATGGTCAGTCTTCTCAGCTTCCCCATGCCAACAGGTGTGTATGGGCATCCCTTTGTGCTTTTAATTTGCATTTTCCTAAGCCTGACAGGGTTGAGTGTCTTTTCATATGCTTATCTGTCATCACATGTCTTTTTGAAGTGTCTGTTCACATCTTCTGCCAATTTTTTTTAGACATTGTTTGTTTTCTTATTTCTGAATTTTGAGAGTTCTTTATAAAGTCTGGGTGTAAGTCCTCATTATGAGTCATGTTTTCCTGCTTCTTTTCATGCCTTGTAATCTTTGATCCGGTGCCAAACTTTGTGAATTGTATCTTGCTGGTGCTAGATATGTAACCCTACAGATTGATATTCTAGACACTTTGTTCTGAGGTGCAGCTAAGTGACTTGCTCTAATTTGATCCTTGTGGGTCTGGCTTTTGTGATTTGTTAGGCAGCAGTGATTATCCTCCAGACTCTTCTTCTACCAAGGTCCCATGAGTGCTAGCGTTTTCCAGGGTAGCTGATGGAAGTGGACGTTGCTCTCTGTGCGAGTACTGACCATCTCTGCCAGTCCATTCACATGGTACCTCTTAAGCCCTCATCCTAACTCCTTTCCAGTACTAGACAGGTTTTCTCTCCCTCTCTCACTATTCCTCTCCATGTCCCTCCCTCCCTCTTTCTTCTATTCTTCCTCCTCTCCACCCTCACCTCTTTCCAGTGTCTTGACAACACTTTCATATATTGTGCCTGCTTTTCTTTAGGTTATGCCTAGACCAGAACAATCTAGTCTGGCATCAGTCTTCCTGCCTAGGAGCTTAAGTCACCATTTGTATTTTAAGCATGCATATCCCTACTAGAGTATAAGTTCCTGGGGAGGAGGGGCTGTGTCTCATCTTGTCACCACTGAACATCAGCACCATGTTCTCAGCGCTCCATAAATAATTGGTGGGAGAATGAATGGGTGAGTTAATCCAATTTGCTTTGGGGAGGAAATGCAATGAAATCTGATCGGCACTAATCTCAGTAGCAATTTTTTTTTTTTATTCCAAGAGAAGGTATGATCCTTTTTACTTTGGGTTTAGAAAGACTGCAAGGGATTTGTTCGTAACATAAATTCCAGTTTGTACGAACATGCTAGTTGGGGTGACTGTGCCATTTGGCATGCGTGTTAACTCCTGAACACTGTAACAGCTTGGTCAGAACGTGTCCAAGACTTTCCTCAGGCTCCCCGGAGAGCTTCAAAATATCTATGACCGTCTGAAAAATGCCTTTCCACTCCGCACATGACCCGAAGCCAGTTTGAAATGCATCATCCATTACGCCAGCCACTTACCACTACAAAAATCAAGCCAGTTGAGCAAACCTACTTTGGTCACAAACTTTAAAGCCATGGACATTTTTTTCTTTTTTGTTTTTTTGTTTTTTGTTTTTTGTCGGTCGTGGGGCCTGAGCTCTGGGTCCTCAGCTCTTCAGCTCAAGGCTAATGTTCTACCACTTGAGCTGCAGCGCCACTTCTCGCTTTATCCTGCTTATGTGGTGCTGAGGAATTGAGCCCAGAGCCTCATGCATGCGAGGCAAGCGCTCTACCACTGAGCCACCTTCCCAGCCCAAAGCCATGGAAACTTTTTTCCCTCATCAGTTTCTGTCCTTAATGTTGGAATTTTGACAGAAGATCCTCCATGAGATCTACTTCTGTGAGACTCAGAAAAACTCCCTTCCGGGCTGGGAAGTCGGCTCAGTGGTAGAGCACTTGCCTTGCATGCATGAGGCCCTGAGTTCGATTCCTCAGCACCACATAAGCAGAAAAACAAAAGCCGGAAGTGGCGCTGTGGCTCAAGTGGTAGAGTGCTAGCCTTGAGCTGCAGAGCTGAGGGACAGTGCCCAGGCCCAGAGTTCAGGCCCTTCAACCGGACCAAAAAAAAAAGAAAGAGAAAAGAAAACTCCCTTCCTCAAAGAATAGGTGAGAGTGGTCCTTCTCATAAACCCTTAAAATCAGAAGCTCATTAGACATCCTCACGGGCTTTAAGGGCAATGTGAGTAAACTCCTTCATTTTAGACTCCATAGCCCTATTATTTCTCCTACGCTTTGTTCACAGGGACTCAAGCTTTGTTATATCACATTACCTGTTCTTTGTTGAAGATCAGCTAAGAACACTATACAACACTACATCTGTGACCCAAAGCACACCCCAAGGGGCTGCCTTTGATTTGTTTTTAAACCAGACAACTTGCCAAACAACTTGAGCGATCTCCTGTAACAATATGAATTTCCCAAAGCACTACCTGAATGATGGAAGGAAAACAAGCAAACAAACCTGAAAGTTAAGGAAAGAAGAGGAAGGAGACTGCCCAGTTGTAATTCATAGAAAGAACTGAGACTTGAGGGGAGGGTGACCAGACAGCAGAGCCTCGGCTCAGGTGTGACGAGTCTACACAAACTAGGCCACCTATGCACATGCAATGTCTGGTTGTACTTCCAGTGGAGGACTTTTTAAGAGAACACCTCATAAACTAGAATGTAGTAAATCAGAGTAAAGGTTCATCATTGTTGTCTGACTTTCCAGAGCTGAGCTGGCCTCGATTTAGCTACCTGACGACAGGTCACAAGGGGAGCCAGCACTGTGAAATGAGTCAGCCCACTAATCGCTTCTGAGACAGGCTACTGGTCAAAGTCTACACAGTTCAGCAGATTAGATAGAAATATTAATTATCTCAATGAATCACAGCTCTGCCTTGTCTTCTAAGCTTGCATTATCATTGACCTATTTTTCTATGTTCCATCTCTCCTCTCCCATTATCCTTGAAGAGTAATGGGGGCCTTGCTGTGGGCATGGTTAGTTTTAGGGGCTGTAACTAAGCTGGTATCATCTTTCACTGGCACAAGATTAATTTACCAGTGAGACAGGGCTGCTCCCTGCCACATGCTAAATTGGTTGACAGCTGGGGGCGGTTTTCACACCTGCCAATGAAAAATCCACTTTGGGTGTGTGGATCAAATTCTATTACCAAGAAACAGAGGGAGCAGAGGGAGGGTCTAGTTTCTAGTTGTCAGACTATCAGACTGTGATTCTAAACAGAAGGGCTATGTTATTTTAAACAGATTATTATTTTATATGTTGGAACTGGAAGTCAACTGACATAATCAATAGTGAGAAAACAGATACACTCTATAAAAATACACCGAATCTTCAGAATATGTTAGTTATAAAATCTTTTTAAGCCAGACGCTGGTGGCTCAGGCCTGTAATCCTAGCTACTCAGGAGGCTGAGATTTGAGGATTGTGGTTCAAAGCCAGCCCAGGCAAGAAAAGTCTGTGAGACTCATCTCCAATTAACTACTGAAAAAAGCTGGAAGTGGTGCTGTGGTGCAAATGGTAGAACCCTAGCCTTAAGCTAAAAGAGCTCAGGGACCATGCATAGACCCTGAGTTCAAGCCCCACAACTGACAAAATGTATCTCTTTGAATAGAAGTGATTTGTCATGTAAAGTCATCTCATGTCAACTACATTCCCGTTAAACTTCCTACACAGAAATCTCTGTGATGGATCATCTGTCTCCATTTAAGCAAATCAAAGATTCCAAATGTTTCCTTAACAACGGTTCATCTGAATCCCAGTGGAAGTTTAGTTTGTGATCTGCCTCTTTCCCGCCTGTTTTCTGACTGTTATATATAGTCCCAGCCCATAGCAAATGAAAGAAAGCATTGATTAGACTTGATTTAAGGCAGCCAGTGATAAATGCAGCTGGGAAATTGATTCATGTCTCTCAAGTGACGGGAGCACCCGTCCACCATTGACACAATTCCTGCCTCAAGGCTGGAGAAAACAAACAGGGAAACACATGTCAAACAGATAAATGACTTAGCTGTTTTCAGCTCTCTGTGGAGGCCATTTGTTTCAGAGATAAGGAAGACTGCTCTCCAAAGTCATGAGAAGATAAGCTAAAAGAAAAGGGTGGCTGTGGAGTTGGATGCCTAAGCACTCGGAAATAACAGCAGCAGCAGAAGACAGGATTTACCTCCCAGGCGGATGTGCTAGGAGATGCGTTGTGGAATGCTCTGTCCTCAAAAAGCATCTATATATGTAATACACACACACACACACACCCATACTGGAGGGTTTGCCAAATAGGCATTCTACCACTGAACTCATTACCCTGGTCCTTTTGC